TCTCAGATCAAGGATAGAAAGTATACAGATCATGCCACATGGATCCCCTCCCAGGGATCCATATGTCATTCCCAACAACCCTTGGTGCTCCAGTACCCGCTTTCATTTTTTTAAAAAAAATTCTTACTCAACTCATATTGTTCCCTGGTGCTCAGTCTAAGGGACAATGTTGCTATGTTTTGAGGAGGCCCCACACCGCCAACTTTTTAAAAAAGTCACTAAAAGGTGCAAGGGGCTTCTTCAGTTTTTTAAAAAAACCCTCTCCTTTTTGTAAGAAAAAAACAGAGTTGGGGTCATGGGTATATTCCTTAAAAGTTCAAACATAGCTCTTTGCAGTTGCCCAAGCTTGTGATAAATACACACCTCTTTTTCTTCCTTTGCTTTACTTTGAAATAAGTGTGGGGCCCTAATCCAGGTTGGGAGGAGAGACGGGCCTGAACTGAGTTGGGGGGGGGCTCTGTATGAAGCTCCTCACATGCTGTGGTTTCCTTCCCTGGCCAATTCACTAGGTTAGGAGTTCACCATTCAGCTGTTCTTTTCTCTCAGCTGTGATCTCTTCCAGAAACTGATGCTGCCCCATTCAACAATTAATACAAAATTCCTGCACAAAGAGAGCCACATTCAGACATGATAGGATTACATTTTTCCTTCCCACATCCTGATATCGTGCTGTAGCTTTTGTTTGTTTGTTTGTTCAGTCATTTAGTCGTGCCCGACTCTTCGTGAACCCATGGACCAGAACACGCCAGGCCCTCCTATCTTCCACCGCCTTACGGAGTTGTGTCAAATTCATGTTGGTTGCTTCGATGACACTGTCCAACCATCTCATCCTCGGTCGTCCCCTTCTCCTCTTGCCTTCACACTTTCCCAACATCAAAGTCTTTTCCAAGGAGTCTTCTCTTCTCATGAGATGGCCAAAGTACTGGAGCCTCAGCTTCAGGATCTGTCCTTCCAATGAGCACTCGGGGTTGCTTTCCTTTAGAATTGATAGGTTTGTTCTCTTTGCAGTCCAGGGAACTCTCAAGAGTCTCCTCCAGCACCACAATTCAAAGGCATCAATTCTTCAACGGTCAGCTTTCTTTATGGTCCAGCTCTCACTTCCATACAACACTACAGGAAAAACCATAGCTTTGACTATTCGGACTTTTGTTGGCAAGGTGATGTCTCTGCTTTTAAAGATGCTGTCTAGGTTTGTCATTGCTTTCCTCCCAAGAAGCAGGCGTCTTTTAATTTCGGGGCTGCTGTCCCCATCTGCAGTGATCATGGAGCCCAGGAAAGTAAAATCTGTCACTGCCTCCATATCTTCCCCTTCTATTTCCCAGGAGGTGATGGGACCAGTGGCCATGATCTTAGTTTTTTTGATGTTGAGTTTCAGACCGTTTTTTGCACTCTCGTCTTTCACCCTCATTACAAGGTTCTTTAGTTCCTCCTCACTTTCCGCCATCAGAGGGGTATCATCTACATATCGGAGGTTGTTGATATTTCTTCCGGCAATCTTAATTCCATTTTGGCATTCCTCCAGTCCAGCCTTCCGCATGATGTAGTCTGCATATAAGTTAAATAAGCAGGGTGACAATATACAGCCTTGTTGTACTCCTTTCCCAGTTTTGAACCAATCCGTTGTTCCATATCCCGTTCTAACTGTTGCTTCCTGTCCCACATATAGGTTTCTCAGGAGATGGATAAGGTGGTCAGGCACGCCCATTTCTTTTAGGACTTGCCATAGTTTGCTGTGGTCCACACAGTCAAAGGCTTTTGCATAGTCAATGAAGCAGAAGTAGATGTTTTTCTGGAACTCTCTGGCACTCTCTGCCTGTAGCTTAGGCCCCCATACTACTTACTTCAGAATAAGAAAAAACTAAGAGAATGTAAGCTGTAATTTGTGTGAGTTGACCTTGAGCTATCAGGAAGTCATTTGAATGCCTGAAATGTGTTAATTATACTAGGTGCCAGTGGTGCTTGAATATTCAAGTTCCAATCAGCACCCGATAGTGAAGACATTTTCCACACAATTTTCTTGGCACAGATTTACTGTCCTGGAGTTTGTTTGCTGATTAAATGTGCAAAATCACCTGACTCAGCACAAGCTGCCTTGCTACTAAAATCAACTTCATGCTCAGAAGCCCTTCAGTAGATTTTAACTGGGAAGGCTGATGGTAACCTATGAGAGAAACTTCATGGTTATGGTACCAAAATCAGAGTATGTTCTTCCCACCTTTAAAAAGCCTTTAATGCCCTCTGGAGAGGCTGCAACATTGGTTTTTCCACATTCTAATTTTTTTTAAGGCCCGGGGTGAGCATTTTTTTAAAATAAGTAAAATTAACTTCCAGTTCCTGATTTTGAAAGGTCTCTCCTAGATCCAAAGACAACTCTTGGGGCTCCAAAACTATGGCAAGGGTCAGCCTCCAGGCCTCTAGAGTTGTCCACCCCATTTTAGGTCCTCCTTTTTAGAAAGAAATGTTAGTTAGTAGTTGAGTACACCCTTTGCAAACAGAAGGTCGACAGCTCTGTCTCTGATATCTAAAGTGAAAGGATCAGGTAGGAGCTTACGGGAACCACCTCCATCTGAGACTGGACAGAAAATGATATAGTAAATAGTACTGTAAGAACAACAGTCCAATCTGATATAAGGCACAATACATAGGACAAAGCACTCTAGCATGGTATATCATATCAGAATAACATAGTAGACTTTGGAATTATGGGAATAAATATGAATTTGAAAGTACTACACTATATTCCATAGGTTTAAGGTTTCTTGGGACCATGACAGTGGAAACTACATTGTCACAGGACCTGATGATGCTTTTGTGATATATTAACATTTCAGATTTGCATGATAAACTATTCACCTTCCCGTTCTCTCTCGCTCTCTCTCCCCCCTCAATCACACACATACTCTTGCTCACTCACTCTCTCATAATCGCCCTCTCACTTATCCACTCATCCAAATGCTTTCAAATGGATTCGTAAAGCCTGATTTGCTAATCTTTATGCCTGTTCAAGTTGATTATCTTGTGGCATACTGCTGCTTCGGAGAGCCATGTTCCAGAGAGGATAAACAGCAATTAATGTGCTATTTTTAAATTGATTGTGAGAAGTGCAATTGAGCTAACAGTATAGCAAATCAATTCACATCCTGTATCCCAATCAACTCGCTGTGTGAATGACTGTTATTACCATTTGTAGCCAGAGGAAATAATAACTCTGAAAAGAATTGGTAGTTATGTTTAAATTGAATAATCAGCTTGCAAGAGATTATGATTTCTGTTTTCAGGCAACAGTAGTTATGGAAAAATCATTCTGTTTTCAAGTAATTAGTTTACACATCCAAATAGAGCAATGTTGTAATTATGGAAATAAAACCTGAAACAAAATATTACAATATATACCCAGCATGACTGCTCCTGGAATAGAAGTTTTGTGGTGCTGTTTAGGCCTAGGAAGAGGAGGGACAAGATTGTTTTAGGTAGAAGGAAGCAGGAATGGTCACCTTTAAAATTTTTCATACCTCTTGTGTCTTTTACTTCTGTGTTATATAGTGACGGAAAAGTTCAGAATGTGCATTTTCCTCATTTATTTACAGCATTTTAAAATACCTTAACCAGAAAGTGTGCCAGAAGTAAACACTTCCTCTTTTCCCTCCCACTAGTCTGCACTACAACTAAAACAATTTCCCTTTGCGGTTCACCCCTCCCCTCAGAATCTATAAGATTGTAACATAACATCAGTAGACAGTTTTAAACAACTTTTGTGCTATACTGATATACACCAGGACCCCCATATCTACACAGTATCTGCAGTTTCATTTATCTACACTCTGAAAATATTGAAAATATTAAAAGAAAAAAACCCAGTTTTTTTCACATTTTATTATCAGAAATGGCCACCGGAGGGAGCCAGAGTTATGAGTTGTTGTTGAAGAATACATAGCATGGTCTCTTTTTTTCCCCTTTCACCATGTTATGTATTGCATTTGCTACTGTATTATCCACGGTTTTCAGCATCCATGGGGCATGGGCTTGGAACCAATGTCCCATGGATATGGGGGTCCTACTGTATTGTTAAACCACTCTCTACCTATAAACCTAAATTGGTGGCATAAAAAAAGACACAATTTTAGTTCCTAATTTTTTAAGGATTTAGAATCAAAAGCTATATGCAATGAATTACATGTACAACACACAATCTGGGAAAACTGTTTTGAAAGACAGTATTTTTAAGAGGTGATTGCTCCCTTCATAACTTGAAAAAATTGTGCACTGTACTGGTAATATGAAATATAACTAGTCCTGCACAATTGTTTTATTTAAAGGACCTTGATTCAAGAGCTATATTCAACAGATGCAAGAAACAAAAAATAGCAAAAAATGTATATTGGTAAATCCAGGTTTCACAAAACTGTGACAGTAGATGAAAGATTCAACTGTCAATAGTTTGACTTCTGTACTATATTTACATACTGCTAAACCATGTCAGTAACTATACTGGTTGTTAATTTTTTGGAAATGATGTTGAATCTGGCAGCAACAAATCTCTTTAAAATTAAATTCCCCTAGAGTCCTTTCTCAGGGTGGAGTAGAGGACAGAACTACAGAAGACCAACATTTGCTTTAAATCTACAGCATAATCAAAGATAGCATACATTTAAGACTTGTAGTACAGTCCAAGGAAAAGAGGAATATTGAATATGGAGTGGATTTATTCAACAAGAGTCTTCAGGACCTTAATGACAGGATCTTTTAGAGCTCATAAATTTGAAGAGTCACCATAAATTGGCAGCGTCTTAACAGTTATTTTAAGACAGGCAGAGCTGTGTACGCTTCTCTAGTAACTGGTCCTGGAGAAGCAAGTGATATAGCCACCAAGTGTGCAACATGGGCTGCAAGCTTAACCACTGGGACCAAGGGGTCAGCAATTAGCCCAGAAGAAGCAGGCAAGCAAGACACTCCATTTTGATTTCTTAGCGAGAATTTCCCACTCATTGCCTTTATTTTACCTGTTTGCCACCAAGTGTCCACAAGGGTACACCTTCCATCTCCTACCACATTGTAGAACCACTGCCAAGCTTCATGGTTTATCGGTTCTCCCACTAAAATCCAAAATAATAAAAGGAATGTTGGTGATTTCTGGTGAACATATTTTATGACAGGTCAACAAATTCATTTACACGGGGAATAATTGCACACATTTAGTCTAGAAGAAAGAAGAGCGAGGGAGAGCATGAGTTGACAATGTTCACTCTTTCCATTGAGAACAGAGGCACTTCCAGATAAATGGCTCCCAGTGCTAACAGCTAACAGAAGATGTTATGCAGTTATCCTCTGTTCTCCCAATTAACTGATTTCTTGGTATTTTTTAAAATGGAAGAAATGTTGGGAAAACAGGGGAAGGTTATAAGCCGAAGATGTTAACACATGCACCTCCAGTGAAATTCTGCAGATAAAATAGGGCAACTGCATGATTAAAGCCTTGTTTGAAATCAGCCCATGATCTGAAAGGATGAAAATAAAAAGTCAGGGAAGGCTCAAGAAGCACAACTGTTTGGCCCCAGAATGCAGTCTAATAAATTTCATAAAATTGCAAACAAAACAAAAACCTGTAAGTTTTCAAGGAAAGCACAGGCTAACATCTGTAGAAGTTATTCGAAAGAACAAATAGTGTCAGTGCCAAGAATTTCAGTTCTAGGGCCAAGATTTTTCAGATCCCTCTCCTTTCAAACTAAATATAGTGGTTGGTACTGGCATCCCAGGATCCAAGCAGGACTGTGTCTTATGCCAACACTGAGTTATAAGGCATCCTCCTGTTCAGACCACAGTCTTCTTATCCTTCTAGAGAAATTCTGCAGTCACAGAAAATCTCCAGAACTGCTAGTGTTAAAAAGAAATAAAGTTTAAGGTGTTTATCTTCACCTGATCCAAGGGTAGTTAGGGAAGATCTGTTATATTTCTTCACATATTCATCTCCATATTTCAGCAACAGACGTAATGCAGTAGGGGCACAATAAAATTGATTAATTTTTAATCTTTGGACGGTTTCCCAATAGCGACCTGCAAAATCCAAAACAGTTGTCTTAAACATGTATTATGAAATCTATGAACACTCATTATTGTATGGTGTGTCACCCATCTGATCAATACAGTCCATCTTACAATATATGCTGGACCAAATTTTAGAACTGAACAGCAGTTCTGTAATAATGCTAGAAAGACAGCAGTCTTTTATTTTCCCAAAATAGTTCCATTTGGTATGTCACTTGTATTCCTTAAATATGTGGCACAATAGTAACTGGATAGCAAGCAAATGTGAATCATGCTACCTCAACAGTTAAGATTAATCTTCACTGACAAAGGGGCAGAGCTACAAACAGCGAGGTAGCAAGAAATTTGGACTCTCCAGAATTCTGTTGCATGCCGTGAATCCAGGCTCTCCCCAAGAAATTGGGGGGCAGGGAGGGCCAGGAGGGGCCCACCCTAAGTCTCAGGAGAGCGGAGATTTCCTGGGGGGGCTGGAAGGCAACCACCCTTCAGGTCATCCTTTCTCCAGACAGAGGATTCCGCCGACACCATTTTATAATGTCGTCTCAGCTGTGAATCTCCGCGGGCAGGAGGGAAGCAAGAAAATTTACGAATGACTGCATGAACAGGGACTAATTGATTTCAACATCGCTTTTATAAGTACAAAATAAACTTAAGTGGCTGATGTCAAAGAAAATAGTGTAATTTTGGAAGCAGCAAACAAGCTTTAAACCCAGACATATCAGTGATTTATTACTGCATCACACCTGAACAGAAACAGAAACTAGAAACTGATAAAGACAGAGACACAGACTTTTTCCTTTTATCCTCTGTCCTCGGATGGTTGGAATAAATCCCAGCTTTTCTTATAAACTTTTATAATAGGAAAAAAAGAGGTTTAAGGAGGCGAGATACTGCAAGAGGTGGATTTTAACCTAATGGCAGTTTTATTATGACTGAATCTACTATTGAAGCTATCTGGTGAAAGTTGAATATTATTAATATTTATTTCATTTATAACCTGCCTATCTGGTCGTGTCAGGACCACTCTAGGCGGCTAACAACATTAAAAGATAATACAATAAATATACGTATAACCAATTTTATATAACAGAAATACTGAACAGAATGGGAGAGCTGAACGAGAGGGGGGGAAAAGAGGGCTGGTTTAGCATAATAAAACATCAGCTCTGCTGAGGATCTGACTTTTATTACTTAAGTGCTTTATGGTTCTCGGCTGGAAGAAGTAAAAAAGCTGTTTTGGTGGATATTCTCTTCACGATAGGAAATGTTTCTTCAAGTGAGGTGTATATCTTGAAATTAGAAAGCATCCTTGCCTATTGAACTTTCAACAAAGATGGTTTCAACAGAAAATTTAATGAATGCTTTTCAGAACATGCAAATGAACATTCTGAGCTATCTTACAATCCAGTTCTTTGAACTTCAGACATTGCTTTCGGACATGAACGAAACAGCAGAACATTGGGAGTTTTCATCAGACCAACGCACTGGAAGGGAAATAGACCAGCGTATTGAAATGGAAGCAGCACAAGAGAGAGGGACTTTATTTGTTCTTAGAAAGCAGGGTGAAACCCCCAAAAAGGAGATCAGGAAAATTGATTTGTACTGTGTGAGAGAGGACCAAGTGGGTGAAAAAGGGATGCGTTCTAATCCAATGGGTGAATATGTAAAACAGGGAAGTGGAAAGGCGAGGCTGAAAGGGAAACGAAATACTGATTACAATCCAGATATTGCTTGGCTTCAAAGGCAAAACATGATGGATGGGAAAAATCCACCAAATCCACCAAATCAGAGAGAAAATAGTCTAATAGGGTTTCACAGATGGCATTTTAAAACTAGTAAAAAAGGAGCCAATCTAATTTTTGGTTTATAATGCAATGAATAAAAGGGGAAATGCTAATTGATGAATATAACATCAAATTATAGACTCAGAGGTGCACAGATATATATAAAATTGATCTGATTTATATACTTCAAGTAATTTTGATTATGTTTTCTCGCTATACGGAAATAAAAACCTCATGCATTCCTATGGGGGATAAACTCGCCGCTAAGTGGGAATCCTCCATAGGGCCGCCACTTTCGTCGCCTCGGTAAGTGAGGAATCGACGCGAAAACGCTGCGGGCAGCCATTTTGGAACCGCCAATCAGCTGTTTCTAAAACATTGCAATGCGAAGATCGGTAAGCTTACCGATCATCGCAATGCGATGTTTTGCCTATTTAAACATCGCAATGCGATCGCAAAAGTGATTGCAAAAAACACGTCGCTATGCGGATTTGTCATTAAACGGTGCACTTGTTATGCGAGGCACCACTGTATACATAAATTGATGTGATTTATATACTGTAAGCAATTTTGACTATGTTTGGAGTCAAATGGCAACTAAGAATTCCCCACTATGCAATCTGAAAGGTTTATGATGAAAATAACACTAGGAATTGTTGATTTTAAGGCATATATTTAGAGAAACAAAGTATGTATGAATTGTAGCATGATCAAATATAATAAGGTGAGATATGTATAATACCCCCATTTTCTGAAAGATTGATGGCATGTGAAATTCTGTTATGAAATACA